GAGAGGGAGAAGCAGACTCCCCGCCGAGCAGGGAGCCCGATGCGGGACTCGATCCCGGGACTCCAGGATCATGACCCGAGCCGAAGGCAGTCGCTTAACCAACTGAGCCACCCAGGCGCCCTGGGGGGGCTTAGGTTTACTCCCCAGCAGACCGGGGGCTGGGGGGCACCCCCCAGGCAGTGGCTTACAAACACTAACTCCGTCAGCGTCCTCTGGAGGGCGTGTGCAGAGATGTCAGCCTCCCCACCTCGTTTTTGATGCCGCAGGTCTGGGGAAGGCCCAAGAATCTGCATTTCTAACAAGGTCCCAGGTGGGGGGCTGCAGGTGGTTGGACACCCCTCCTGGAGAAACCATGGTTCCCAGGGCCGTGACAGCTCTCAGATGTCAAAAGGCTCGCCCTGGGTGGGTGGGGTCTTCCCAGGAAGGCCTAGGAGGCAGACCCTCTGGGGTGGCAAACCCCTATTTAACCACCTGCTCGCCTGGGTAATTCACGCTGTTCTAGGCCTGCCACTCGATATGTGGTCCACAGACCGACGGGTCGTGTGCCCCTGACCTTGTCAAGATTCCCATGTGGTCTGTGACGCTCTGCTAAGGGTCAGGTGTGGAGATGTGCCATACCAAGGCCTGGGAGGGCCCTGAGCCCCGGGGCCCCCACAAAGCAGGGCCTGCAGGAAAGGGCCTCTGGGCGAATCTGACCAGCCACACAAACCCTGAGCCAGCAGCTGGTCATCTTTGCAGCTGGAGGACGGCGAGCCCCGGGCCTCCCCCTCTGTCTAAACTCGGGTGAGCCAGTGCCCGGGCAGGCCGGAAAGCCAGAGAGGCAGTGGCTGGGATTTGGGGCGGCCCAGCTGCTTGAGCCGTCAAGGTGGGTGAGCTCTCCCTGTTACGGAGGCACCGCCCACGCGGCCCCAGCCGCTGCCCCGAGCTCACCCTGCTGACGCCGATGGGGTCTCGCCAGGGGCCGGGGCTGCACACCTGTTAGCTGCCCCTATGCGTCCTCTGCTTCTCCCCCATTCCCCTCTCCCAGGGGCCCTGCAGGACAGGACGGACGCAGACACACATGTGCACCCGGGGCAGCCAGCCTCTGAGGCTGGTGATTAATACCGCCGACAGATGGCATTTACTGTTACCTCGCGCCCGATCCGCGGCAGCCTCCCCTCCCTCCCCCACCCCCCCTTCACAGAGCGGAGATGCCCGTCGGGGCTCTGACAGCCCTCTGCACGCCGGGGCCCGCGGGCTGACAGTGAAGAAGACCCCTCCCCGCTGGGCCCCCCGGAGCAGGGAAGCAGCCGGTAATTAGCGGCCACCCGGGCCACGCCGCACCTGCTGTCCACTCAGCTGCGGCCGCTGGCCTCCCTCCCGCTGGGCGCCCTGCCCCCCTGCAGCCCGCCTGTCAGGGAGCTGACGCCCGGGCACATGTGCACTGCAGCTGTGGGGGCCCGTCAACGCCGTGCCTGGCCGCGGGGCCGGCCGCCAGTCGCTGGTGACAACCAAAGAAGGCAAATGTGGCCGGCCACTGTGGGCCCTGGGCCACCCCTGCAGGGTGCAGACCCATGCCGGCCCGCCCTGGGAGTGACCAGGCCCTGGGGCAGGCAGTCCCCCCGGCCGGCTTGGGGGCGGTTCAGACACGTGGCCGGCTCCACCTTGCCAAAGCCCTTCCACACTGGGGACTTCGTTCCGGCCTCACGCTGAGGACAAACAGCGCGGAGAGAGCCCAGGGAGCCTGCCGGGTCCGCGCCGCCCACCCCTCCCCGGGCGCTGTGTGATATGCACGGCCAGCGGTGGGGACCGCGGGCCCTGGCACCAACACAGCAGGTCCCTTGGAGAGTCCAGCTGGCGGACACTCAGCCCAGGGCCGCCCGCTGAGCGCCGAGAAGGGAAGAGGCCGCTCCCGCCAGCGCCCGCGACCTCCGTGGCAGAAAGGGAAGGTGAGGCCGCCCGTTTCCTGAGCAGACGCGCAAACGCTGGCGGCTTGCTCCGAGCCCTTGACAGTCGCGGCTCCTTATTCTCGCGGAGGCCCCGGGGGTGGGGGTGCCGCGGCCAGCCCTCGCTCTCAGGTACAGAGAGGCGCGGTGTCTGCCGCGGGCACACGGGGGGCTGGGCGCGCCCCACAGGGTCGTGCGGGTCTGCAGGGCTGCGAGGCCTGCCTGCCCCCAGTGCGCCATGTTCTTCCAGAGGCCGCGGCGGGGCTGGCATGCAGACCTGGCTGCAGGGGGTGGGGGTGGCAGCCCCGGGACACAGCTGCGCCGTGAGGGACCTCCCGAGTCTCTGGCGCCTTGAGTCCTGGCTCTCTGCTTCTCACTGAGTGACCTGGGGGGTCCCTGCACCTCCCTGAGGCTTTATTTCCCGATAGAGGGGGTAGCAGTCTGCGCACGCACGCGCTCAGTGAAATTCGGCAGAGGTTCATGGAAGGACGGTGCGCCAGGACCCTGCTCTGGAGGCTGCCGTCGGCACGGACCCCACCCCAGAAAATGACGGAGGCCGTCCGGGAAGAGCGGAGGAGGTGTGGCGAGGGGGCAGGAACAGTGTTTGTGCTGCAGGGATGTGCAGAGTGTTCGGGAGTCTCGGCGAGGAGGCGTGTGCAGGGCCCCCAGGACGGAGGGTCCGGAGGGTCAGCGGGGCTGCGCTGGTGCACGTGGACCCGCTGTGTGGGCAGAGGAGCCGCTGAAGGCTCACACGCAGCCGGAGCGAGCCTCAGCTCGCACGTCCACTCTCCTGCCCAACACCTGGCAGCAGCTGCCACTGCGCGAGCGGCTTCTTGCTGACCCAGGCCGCCCTCCCGCCCCGTCGGGGCCGCCGTCCACCGCAACCCTCGCCCCTCTCCCCGCACCCAGAGCACCCCGCCGGGAATGCTCCGTCCCTCTTGGCGGTTCCGCTCTGGCCTCACGTCCTCAGGCGACATGCCCCCACACTTGAGCTCCTCGCCCTCTGGAACGTCGCCCCGTGCGGGGATGACCTTGCCTTCTGGTCCACCTGTTTGCAGGGAGCGCGTGGGGTGGGGACGTCCAGAAGGCTGGGGCACTCGATGCCAGAGCAGGATGCAGGGGGGATGGGGGTCTGAAGGCGTCTCCCTGGGGTCTCCCTGCATCGGGGCTGGAGGGGCCAGCCGAGCAGGGATAGCTGGGGGGTCCACTCAGGGCCCAGGCTTGGAGGGAGCTGGATGCTGCCCCCCAGGACGAGTCACTGCCTCTGTGAGCCTCACTCCTCGCTCACCAACTGCCCACCTCCCTGGTGTGTGGGACAGATCAAAGGAGACGGAGAAACGCACTTAGCAGAGGCCTGGCACCCACCACGGTCACACCGCAGGTGGCGGGGGCTATAGTCACTGTCCTTACCTATCATCTCCTCCCCATCCCCGAAGCCCCAGGCTGTGTGCGAGCCGACTGGCCCACAGCCCCTGCGGCCTGTCGGCAAACGGTAATGAGCTGCTGGACTGGGGCGGCCTTGTTCTCCTGCGCTGGCTTCCTGCCCTGCCCCCTCTCGAGGCCGCCTGCCAAGCCAAGGGCTGCTCCCTGGCCCCCCGAGACCCACAGCGAGGCTCAGACTCCCCGCGGCTCTCATGGGCTGGTGGCCAGCATGGGACTGTCCGGGCAGAACCCTGCACCCATAGCCACAGGAGCTGGCTGGGCTCAGGGTGCAGGAGTGCAGGGGAGGGGCTCCTCCGTCAGATGCTGGGTGCCGGAAGCCAGTGAGGGGTTCAGTCCTGCTTCCCGCCAAGGCTGTGAGCAAGGCCTGGCTCAGCTCCCTGGCAAGGCCAGACCCACCTGGAGACCCCAGGCAGGTCCTGTGAGGCCACTTGTCTCCTCCCTCCTTCTCAGGTCCCCTCAACGTCCCTGCCCAGTGTCCTGACCCCCATGCTCTGCACACAGCGTCTGGTAGAATCCCCATGCCCTCCCCCGCAAAATGCACTGTCAGGGCCCTCTCATGTCCTGAATCCCCAGGGTCACCCGGCCTGGGAATGGCAGGCTAGGCCTGACCTGTGCCCTCCATCCCGAGCTCCGACTGTCCCCTCCACACCCACCCAGGCCTCTGTCTCCCACACTCCTCATTCTGGGGTGCTTCGAGGCTCTTAGTCCCACAGACCCTCCACCTGATGGTGGGGGTTCCCCTGGAAAAGCTCCCTTTAGGGGGCTCTGGTTAGGCAGATCTGGTCCAACCTTATAATGTTAATATATGATAATAAGGATATCTGCTGCTCCTATGCAGGGCCTCACACGCATTAGCTTGTCTACCCCTCAGGTCAGGAAAAGTGAAGTGACCCCAAGCACCGATTTTTATTAGGAATTCCACACGACAGGCTGGTTATCATGCCCATTTTTAGATGGTGAAGCTGAGGCTCAGGGAGGGCGAGTGACTTGCTCAGGTCTCAGAGCCGGAAGCACAGAGGGTGCCGGGCAGAGGGCTGAGCCCGGGCCCCCACGGCGCCGCCATCACCTGCGAGACCAGCTGGGCTCTGACCCAACGCTGCCTCGGAACGATGTGTGGGCCAAGCAGCACACAGGAGGGGCAGCTGCCTGGGGTCAGAGGTCCCTCATTGTGAGTCAGTGGCGTCCGAACTTGGGCAGATGAGCGCAAGGACCATCTTCCCAACAGCATGGAGCTCCTTCTGATCTCGGCACGCCCAGGAAGAAGAAAGGAGACCCGGCCACCAGCATCCCTGTGCCCCTCCCAGTTCCCTGGGCAGCCAGGGTGAAGGCACCGCGGTTCTTTCCACGCAACCTGCCAGGCCCAGCTTGGTGAGTGCAGAACCCTGCCTTAGCCAAGTGAGGGGCCGATCATGCGAGTGGAGGAAAGCTCGGAGTCTGGGGAAGGGACATCGAGCCCCGTCACCCGACGCCAGGGGTCCCCACCAGCCATTCTGGAGCCCGAGCAGTGTCTCAGCCCGAGGAGCAGCCTCGTGCTGATGCAGGCGGGGGACAGCCGGGGAAGTGCCAGGCCCCCACCCGTGGTCCTGGCTCAGAGGTAGGCAGACGGGAAGCGAGGGGCCCGTAGCCAGGGAGCTCAACGTACATGGAAAAGAACATTCCTTATGTGAAGGGCCCAGACCGCTGGCTTGTGTGACCTCCCCACGACCCTCAGAGGCCAACGGCACTCCTCTCCTCTTTCAGATGGGGAAACAAGACAGGCCAGGCGACCTGCCTGGCTCCCACAGCTGAGGAGGGGGCTGGCCATGACCTGGGCATCACTCCCACCGGCCCACAGCCCCACAGCTTGCAGGCGCCCTCCCGCCCCCTTCTGATCCCCCATCTGCCACCCCGCGGAGCCTTTCTCTGTGGCAGTCCCCACCGGCCTCCCAGAGGGCAGGGGGCCTACTGGCACTGGGCCGCTGGTGTCCTGGTGCGGGTCTGGGCAGGCAGCAGTCAAGGCACGTCTAGGCGTCCTAGTGAGCAGAAGAGCCAAAGGGGTCCCCCGCCCCCAACCTTGCCTCCCACCCTTGGGAACATTCCCAGACCTTGGCCTGCACGCCACAGGCCCATGGGAGACCCAGCATCTTTCCCAGACGGTGTATCCAGTCTCCAGCTGAATGTCCCTAATCCATCCACAGAGGAAGCTGCTCTCCAAGCCAGGCAGAGCCGGTGGGAAAGAACATGGAATGTGCCGGAACAAGCCACCCCATCCATCACTGTCCCTGTCTGCCTGTGGTTCCCAGCCTGCCCTGCCTGGCTGAGAACTGGCCACAGCCCAGAGCTCCCAGCCCTGGGGTTCTAGAACCTTCTTCTGCCCGCCTCCAGTCTGCAAAGCTGCTGGAAATAACAAGCCTCTGCTTTGATCATTCAGAGTCTTGATTTCTGCTGGTACCTCATCTGACCCTTACAAAGGTCCTGGGAAAGTAGGAAGGGAGGGATGGGTTCCGACAGTAGGCAACCAAGCCACGGTGATCAAGTCCTGACTGCATGCTGGGCCTGGACCCGAGCACTTCACATGAATCACTCAGCTCACCCTGCAACAAGCCTATGAGGGGGGCAGGTGAGGAGACCCGGCCGCGCACCCAGGCCGTCTGGCTCCAGGAGCCACTCTCTCCGTGGGGTCTTGGGATGCAAGGGCCCTGCTCCAGGGTCTGCTGGCCTGGGTTGGACGCAGCCCCACCCCAGACCCCTCTCCTGGAGCTGGCACATGGGCAGGGGTTCCCGAGGCCCGCAGGAGGCCGGGGAGGGGCCCCCAAGGTTCCGAGTGCCCCTTGAGTCCCCAGGATGACAGAGGTCAGCCTCGGAAGTATCAGAGCAGAAGGCTTTCCCGGGGCTGCCGGCGGGCGGGGCTCTGGAGTACAGTGCGGGGGTCCTGCACCTCCTCTGTAAAGGGCAGAACATGGGGGCTGCCCCCCAGCCTCAGGGTCCGCATCCGTACACAGGAGACGCAGCGTGAGTGTGAAGCTTGCACAACGATCTCCGCGGTTCTGCTGAGGTCGAGAGGAGACAGATGTCCTCGACGGGGCCTGACTGTGTGCCTGCCCATCCCTCAGACCTCACACCTCCCTTCCAGGAGCAAAAGGAAGAGAAACCCCCTTCGAGGTCGTCTGGCCAGGACCAGCCTCCCTGTGCGCCCCACACCCCAGTGAGACAGATGGTGAGCCCACCCTCACTGTCCCCCAAGAATGGAGGGCTCCACGTGGGGGCGAGGGCAGAGCCAGGGGTGGGGCGCATCTCTGAATTCCTAGCTTCTGCCCTTGGCCAGGCAGCGGGCCAATATTCTAAAACTCTGGCCAAGGTAAACCCATACGCCTGGCTTTCCTAGGAACCAGAGGGGCAGGCTGGCCCCTCTGAGACATACGTCCTACGACTGGTCACCATGGCTCCCCTGCCCCTCAACCAGGACCCTGAGTGCTCCCGGCTCCTTTGTGCCTGGCCTGCCTGTCCTCGAGCCTACTCAGCTGCTCCTACCTCAGGGCCTTTGCACTGGCCATTCCCTCTGCCACGGATTCCTCCCCCCAGATTCCTTTATGGCCTGCTCACACCCTCTGCGTTTTTGCCCCAAGGTGACCCTCTCTCAGTAAGACCGAGTGCCTAGAACAGTGCTGGGCACACGTGGGTGCTCAATAAATACTTGCTGAATTACAAGCAGGACAGCCCACGGAGGCACAGTTCACTGAGAGCAGCCTCCCTAGTGTCACGGGCTCTCTTTAAGCCGATGTGGCTCCCGACCTCCTTCCCCATCGGGTCCAAACCAGTGTGGCCCACGGGGCAACCCGCGACCCTCCCCAAGCTGTCCGCACAGCCACGGCCCCTCTGTGCCGCCTCCTTCCCAGCATGGCCTCCGGGTGGCCAAGCCCTGGCCTAGCAGGGCAGGACTGCCCACTCAATAGACGAGGACACCGAGGGCAGGGAGGTCAGGGGCTTCACCCGAGACCACAGCTCAACAGGGCGACAGAGCTCTGATCCCCCAATGACCTCCTATCACAGCAGCAGCAGCCCCGCATCGGGCCCAAAGCCCCTTCTGATCACACCACCAACAGCATGGCCGAGCACAGGACGGGGACAGGCACGCGGTCTCCCACGCGGTCTCCCGAGGGGGCAGCTCTGTGGGTCAGGGCAGCGGCCCTTGGTTTGCAGAGCCGCCCTCCCGAGTGCTCAGTGCCACCAGGGTCTCAGCGTCCACGAGAGGGGCTTGCAGGAGAGCCACGCAAGAGACAGGGGCAGCGGGCTGCGTGGGAAGATCCCCACACGACGGTCCCAATGCACGTGATGCGGGGGGGCCCCCCACCATGGACACAGAGTCACTATCTCGGAGGCCACTGAGCTCGGTGCAGGGCCTGGGCCAAGGGAGGCAGCTCCCAGCTCCCACAGGGCCCGGCCAAGAGCGGCCAGCCGGCCAGGTGCCCGGGGTGCGGGGTGCAGAGAGCAGGAGCCCCCAGACCTCTGCAAACATGGTCTTGCCCCTGCAATGGCCCTCCTCCTTCACAGCCACCCCAGTTGGCCTGGCCTTGGCCTGGGGAGCATCTTTCCTGGCCCCAGGGTCTCTCAGAAACCTCCCTGACTGGGGGCCTCCCGTGGGTGCATGTGGGACAAACAGGAAAATCAGGCATGAACCCCTAGGAAGAGACACATTTCAGAAGGTCTGTGAGCAGTGACGGACAGGGGCCACCAGGCTGAGGGAGAGGTGATGGGGCTCGGGGGGCTGTCTGCCTTTGGGGCAAACCCAGGACAGTGGGTGACCCTCCACGTCCAGACGGGTGGGTCTGACCAGGAGGCTGGGTGCCCCCCCTACTCTGTTAAGGCCAATGTCAGAGGGGAGGCTTGTCTTTGATCTCCAGCAAAGCGACACGGGATGGTCACGGGGGTGCGGCCCTAATGAGTCCCAGGCGTTTCCCGCATCTGCTTTCTATTACGGCGTGCACCGCACCCATGAAAAAATCATGATACAAAAACACGGGGATTACTGTTTTCCCCTCCAGTGGTCGCGGTGGGCCTCCTGCCCCCGCGAGTGCTCGAGCCGAGCGTGTCCATCCACAGCCTCCCGCCCAGCCCTCGGGGCCATCCCTCTGGCCCTGAGTCCGCCTGCCAACCCTTCCCCCTGCACGGTGCTGAGCCCCCCGGAATGCCTGCTCCCAGGGCCCTGTGACCCCCTGGGCCTGTGGGGCCGGAGGCAAGGGTCACAGGTCATCATGGCAACAAAGCTGGGCCGGGCGTCAGGAAACCGGGGTTCCCATCCTGCCCTGCAAGCAACTGTGAACTTGGGAAAACGACCCCAGCACATGTCTGAGCCTCGGTTCACCCGATGGAAAAACGGGGCCTGTAACTCCCACTTCTGGGGCGGGGGTGGTCTTGGACGAGGAACCCAGGAGGGCTTCCCAAAGTGGCAAGCCCGCCGTGGCTGCTCATGCCCGTCTCTGTCTCCTGGCTGGAACACCGGCGCCTTTTCTCATCTGGGCCTTGGTGCCCACACCTGCCATGCGGGGAGGGCAGAGGCCACCCTGAGGAGTCGCAGCGGGTGCCCCGTGGAAAGCGTCCAGCGCACATGCTCAGCAAGCGGCGTCCTGCTGTACACGCATGGGGCCCCAAGGAGGCCCTGCGCAGGGGTCCCGGGGGAAGGGCTGTCCTCCGCACGCCGGCCACCTGCCCAACTTTGATCGCAAACTGGCTCCCTTTTGCCGAGAGCTGCTCGCGCGCTAGGTCTGAAAGCCTCTGTCCTGAAAAAGCCACGCGGTGTTGTTAGGGCCCCAAGGTACAGTGGGGAAACCGAGGCACACAGTGGCGATGTCACCTGCCCTGGGTCACACTGCAGATGTGCCCACAGCTCTAAGGCTGGTGGCAGACAGAGCTCGTCCCTCCCTGTGGACGTGCGCAGAGCCCACCCACAGGGCTGACAGTGGCCTCTGTCCCAGGGTGAGGGGGTCCGCAGGAGAATGTCGGGGCACAGTAAAGACCCCTTGCAGCCACAGAGGGGACACCGTGTAGCGGCCAGGCTGCTGACATCCCATCAGCAGTGAGAGGGAGCCAGTCGGCCTGGGCAGGAAGGTCCTTTCTATCACCGAGATAAACACAACTGGACCAGACACAACCTCACCCGAATGCCCCTCCAGCCCCAGCCCAGCGGTCCCCCCCAGGCTGGGCTCACTCACCCCTTATGAGCTGGCTACATGGCCCCAGGCGGAGAGACCTCATCCCAGACACAGCGGGCCTGCCGGTCTCCTCCCAGCATCTCTGGGAAAGCGTGGCACATTTACACTCTACAGATGAACCTGGGCTCATCAAGACCTGGGAAGATGGGGCACGACTGTCCCCTTCTTGCTCTAGGCTCTGATAGGGGGCAGGCAGATGGAGCCTCCCTCCATGCCTCGCCCACTCCGGCTCCTTCCTCCTCCCTTCTTCCTTCCTGTCCAGCACTCCCGTCCTGCCGCAGGGCCTTTGCACCTGCTGGAACACTTCCCCAGATCTTCACAGGGCTGTCTCCTTCTCATCAGTCAGGCTTGGTTCAGGTCTCTCCTCAGAGAGGCCTTCCCTGACACCCCTGCAGGGCTGCCCCCTCGCCCCCGCACGTCCACTACCTCACCTGAGTTGCTTTTCCGTGGAGCACTGGTCTGCACCTGCGCTCATCCCGTGTTGCTTCTCGTTCTTGTCTTTCTGTGCACTGCTAAGCCCCAGATGGAGCCCAGAACAGCGCCGGACACTTTGCAGGTCTGCAGCAGACCTTTGAAGGTTTGCTGACTGGCCTGCGAGAGAGAGCCAGCGTCCCCACCTGCCCTCCTGCCACCCTAGGTCCGATCCGCTCCTCGTGCGTGAGCTCGGCTCCGTGTGGCGGGACGGCCCCTGGGCAGGGCTTGGTGGGGACCTGCCCCTGCCAAGTGGCTCCAGTTAGTAGCTCCCCTGTGTGTGCAGTGTGAAGTATCCGAGGACTGGGGGCTGTCTGGAGCCTGTCCCACAGCAATAAGCATGGTTATGGTACCCGGGACCTCCCTCCACCCATGAGGTGGACGCATCACAAAATGACCCAGGCCCCTCGCAGTGCGACCACAGCTCTTCCCATCTACTCGACATGGAGTAGACATCCCTGCCCTGCATCCGGGCCAGCCCTGGGACTTGCTGTGGGTGCGGTGGAAGTGATGTTGGCCAACTCTGAGCCTGGACACGAGAGGCGTCAGCTGCGCCCGCTCTGCTGTCCAGCCAGCCGGCTGGAGGATTCCCGTGGGGCAGTCTCCAGTCGTGCGAGGGGCCCAGCCACAGTCAGCAGAGCCGCTGACCACAGACCCAAAAGCAAGCCCAGTGGGACCAGAACTGCCCGCCTAAAGAACTGTGAGCCAAACAACGGTGGTTATTTCAGCAGCTAAGTTTTGGGGTGGT